AGCTACGATGCTCAAATTTTGAACTTAAACTATTCCCACACAATGTTAACTGCCTGCGAAATATAAAGAAATTTGGAGAGGGTGGGTGTCAAATCAGGTTTTTTTGTGTTGAAATGGCATGGAATTACTCATTGGGAAAACGAGAAATTGTGTAGAAACACAACGCCCGAAGGGCGGAGTGTTTTCATACAATTTCGAGTATTCGCAACTTCCACAAGTGTTGATATAACTATATATCAATACGGAAAAAATGTTTTATATTTGTTTTATAATATAGCAATGTCAAAAGCCCGAAGAATAAGAAAAATTTCCGTGTTTACAAGCGGCGGAAAATTTCCCGTGTTGACATGGAGTTATATCAACACGGCTCTCAGCCAATCAGCGTTCAGAATTTACAAATGCTATATTATAATATAGTTTAACAATTGTCATACTCTACTCTGACCAAGGTCTGTTTTCCACTTCAACCGTATCGTATCGTAACGGTAGCATTTTCTTTTGTGTCGAAGTCATTAGTTCCACTCTAGTGCTCATGAAACAAAGAAACATGCTACGCTTCGGTACAATATGATTGAAGTGGAAGACGGCCTTACCACTGACAGTATAATTATGCTAACCTGGCAAAGGTATTCTATTCTTTGCGGCAAACGACTTTGCACAGTCATCGGCATTCAGAGGCTCGGCTGCAAATATTTTAACATCAGGTTTCATGTTCTTCACAGCAATGCAAACACCACTTAGCAACCCCCCTCCACCAACAGGAACCACGAGCGCTTCAACATCAGGTACCTAGTGGAAGAGAAATTAGGAATGGATTTTGGTACACACATAAAAATCTTACAATATGTCAACAGACAACAGGATGTGTTTGCAACAGGCTTGTAGCAAGCTAATGTCAAGAAGTTGCGACAATGTTGTTATTGATCATCAAGTTGCTACAAGGTTGTCACTCGCAACTTGTTGACAAATTGTAGAATTGCAGGACGATAACAAGTTGTTGGAACAATTTGTAACAAGTCTGTCAAGCTCAACAACCTTGTAGCAAGTTGTCAACAAGCAATGCAAACACATCCTGATGACAAGTTGTTAGAACGGCATTGCTGCAAGTCTGTTGCAGGTTTGTTACAACTTGTGTATTTTTACGTGTGTAGCAGAGGATTTATTACGTTAGACTATTTCCCCTCTGTGATGCACCAGGGAAGACAGCTTAAAACTGATACAATGATACAAATTACATACCTGCTCCAGAACTTCAAGACCAATGGTCCCCTGCCCTGCAATCACATTGACGTTATCAAATGGATGGATTAAATGTCCATTTGCACCAACAGACTTCAGAACTTCTGCACACGTACCCTCACGACTCTTCATTTCAAAACAAAAAATTGCTTATAGTTATAAAAAATCGGAAATGCGGAAACATTGAGTGAATATTGATTAGATAACAACACAATTGAACCCGGTAACCAAATTTCATTCTTCAACAAGGTAACTTCAGGATTTAAGATGGCAATTAAATAACTAAAACAGTTTTATGAAATAGGGTGTCATTTTCGAAAATAACCAGGCTATAAAGTAGCCTAGGTTGAGAAAAAATAACTTTGTTTGAAAGCTCAGAGTGGAAGAAAGCAGAATTAAATGGTAGTACTAAACAAAGTAACCAGTGGCAAACTTCGTCACACCCACTAGAGCTCCAGGGGCCATCAGCTAATTTTGAAAGCCCTGAATTGGTACAAATTAGGCATTAAAATAAATGTCACACAAAACACATCCATCTCCCATGTACTGACCTCTTGCGTATTCACACATTGCGTGATCTGAGCTCCATAACCTTTCACAGCCTCTTTCTTGACAGTCGGTGCATCTATAGGCATGACTATGTGTGCTTTAACTCCATGTAGCTTGGACGCCAGTGCGATCGCCTGAGCATGGTTTCCACTGCTGTGCGTAACGATTGTCATCTGACTTTTGTCTCCCGAGCATTCTTCAACAAGCTTACCGACAGCATTTGATGCACCTCGAAACTGTATATAAAAGGGGGTTTACATCTAATTATAATTATATTGTTTGCGTCTAAGTATGAATGGTCGCAAATAAAAACATTGTCTAATCTCATGCGAAACTTTCACGTTTGCAACAAGCATTCGAGATGTTTAATAAGCCTGCTGCACGCATAAGAAAATTGCAGCGCTAACCGCCTCTTGTGGCAGCTAATGCTATTGGCGCTCGAGTAAAACAAGGTTGCTGTCAAATAGTTTTCCCAAAGTGTGTGGGGAAAATGCATATATATATAAATAGCCATTTGAGGCATTTAGCTCAGCAAGTTTCGCTCACACACAGCAGGCTTAACCACACTCAATGGCTGAGCTAATGGAAACCTTCTTGAAAATGCTCATGAGAGTTCCACACGGGAATGACAATTTCTTTACTTGTAACTATTCAAGCATTTAGAATGGGCTATTACATTTAATACCCCCCCCCCCCCCCCCCC